AAAAGTTTTTGAAAATAGTGATGGTCCCCAAGGACCATCATACTCAAACAGAACATCACCCATTTATAAGCATATTTTCTCCTTTTTTTTTTTTTTTTTTTAATTTTAGGATTGTTACACACCACCTCTTCATAAATACCCCCAATAGAAGAGCACCATAGTTCCAAATGCAACACCACAAAGTTCTCTGCCCAATTGAGGCATACCACAGTTTCGATTGTGTGATTGCAGAGTATGCCACCTCCTCTTCATAAATACCCCCAGTGGAGGAGCACCATTGCTCCAATATCCCCAGTGGAAGAGCATCATCGTTCTAAATTCAATGCCACAAAGTGCTTTGCCCAATCAAGGCGTGCCACAACCCCGACTGTGCGACCTTTAAAGCATGCAATTGCCCCTTTACACAATGCAATATGCCCAAAAGAGGCATACCACAGTCTCAATTGTCCGGCTTGAAATCATGCTTTCACCTCTTCATAAACTCCCCGAGTGGAGGAGCACCATTGCTTCAAACCCCATCATTTCTAGTGCTAGTCCCAATGGAGGCTTACCACAGTCTCAGTTGTGTGACTTCAAAGCATGCAATCGCCTACTCATAAAGCCATATCCCCAGTAGAGGAGCACCACCACTCCAAACTCATTACTGCAAAATGATCTCCCCAATTGAGGTATACCGAAGTCCCGACTGTGTGACTTTATATCACGTCGTCTCCTCATAAGAAACAACAATATCATCCCCTATGGATATGTACCATAGTCTTGATTGTGTGACATTATAAAAGCATGCAACCGCCTCTTTATGTAAAACATCAATGTCCCCAGAAGAGGCATACCACAGTTTTGCCTATGTGATCAAACCCTACCACTATATCTGATAGGGCACTTCTATCACCCAAAGTGCCCTTTACTTTTTCCCGAAGGCACAACATTCTCCACGAGTCAATCCATCACCCACTTACGGAACCTTAACCATGAAATTCTTCATTTCCTCCCAAACCAGTCATTTCTCAGGGCAAATCATGGGGCCACCACCTTAGTCCCGAACCGTGTGACGCCTCAAGTGACATACGTGACCCGATTCCCCAGGAGTCAAACTACCCCAAGGGATTCCCAAAACTGCACAGCTCCCCGATGAAATCTAGTCATGAACAACAAAATCACAAACACCCCTAAGAGAGCCACGTGTTTCACAAAACTTGCAGTTCTCCCTTGGATCGTACGCCTTATGGTACCCCATGATCTCACTTTGTGTGCCCCTACCTTAACAGTCTAATATGGTTGATGACTTTAAAAGCACCCATATTCTGTCTAAAGTGGGTGAGGACCTTAAAATTTCTCTCAAGACGTCCAAGAAGGGTTATGACATTAGAAGATCCTCGATCACATCCAATGAAAGCGAATATATTAAAAGCCTATTTGCGTCAAACATGAGTGAGGACTTTAAAAGCACCCGTACTTGGTCTAAAATGGGTGATGGCCTTAAACTTTCCCTCAGCACGTCCAATATGGGTGAGGACTTTAAAAGCACCCCTAACATGAATTTCACCCCAAAGGAGTAAATACACAGTATGCTTCCAAGGGAGTGGCAAATCTTTTCACTCAATATGTGCCCCTAAGTACATAGAGATATGCACCATGTGTGGTTTAAATAAGGTTGCAACCTTAAATCATTAAAGGAGAACCTTCAAACTTTGTTGTCATATGCAATTTTGGTGTTGAAAATTCTTAAGATGTTGCCCAAATCTAATTATATCTCTAATTATAAAATTTTAAACTCTAAAATTAGTTTAAATCAAGCATATATATAAATGCATGAAAAGTTTGAAAATGGACGGTCCAAATAATGTGTTATAATATATACTATTTTTGGACTTGGAATCTTTTTTTTCAATATCAAAAGAACTTTTTCCGAATGACTTTAAAGATGCACCTTAATTGTACATTTCAATGTGTCAACCTTAAGTAAACTTTTCTCTCCAAATGTTTGGTGCTATGTAATTGGTTGCACATGTTATATTGGGTTTTCAAGTCTAACCACTATTTTAATATTTTTATTAAAGGAAAAGTATACAATGAGACCATTTACCTTTGCTACAAGATGATCACAATCAATCTTGACCATTGGATGTGAAATTGGATGGTTGCATTTATTCCATTGACTAAACTCAAAGTTCAAAAGGAATTTTATCGAGCTTTGAGACACACTCAAGCTATCAGATTTCACATTTGATGGTTGTAATTAATTGTAATCTCCATGTACCAAAGTTAAATGATCTCATTGTATACAATCCATTTTTAAAATGTTAATTTGGAATAGGTGGGATTGGAGCTCCTTACGCCACTTTGTAGCTCCCCTTGCCCACATGCCAAGAGCCCCATTCTCAAAAAATTTGGATCGTTTCTCAATTTGTGCTTGTCATTCTTGCAAAAGGGCGTTAATCTTAATATGAAAGAAAACTAAAAGTTTCGGATTATTAATGGTAATAATAGCCATAAGTTTGAAAAAGTAAAAAAAAAAATTGTAATATTTTTTTTATTTTGCAATTTTCTTTTCCATTATTCTCCCCCTATTTTCCATTTTTCAGATTTAACTAGATAATGAGGTGAAATGTTGTGCAGTCAATAAACAACATATCTATAGATTAAGTATAGTTAAGATGAAGATCTTAAGATGGATACGTGGCATGACAGGAAATGATAAAATTCAAAATGAATACATAAAAGAGAGCTTATGAGCAGCTCCAATAGGTGATAAAATGAGAAAAAGTAGGCTTGATTATATATATCTTCGAACATAATATCACCGCTTAGGTGAGGCAATTTGGTTTAAGTGCAAAGTTTTAAAAAGATGAGAAAAAAGCCGAAAAAGATATGAATAGAAGTAGTCAGAGGAGATATGATAAACTATATTACGATTAAAATATGACCCTTAATAGAATAAAAAAACATAACATGATTCATATAACCGACTCAAAAAAATAAAGCTCCCATGGTGACGATGAACTAAGTAAGGCTAGACGAGATGGAAATTGTACATGGGTAAGAGTGCCGATCACAAATATTCGCCACCATATGATGCATGCTTTTCCTTTCCAAAATCCGCCCCTTTTTCCTTGCCCATTCTTCAAAGCCGTCATTTCCATGTATGAATAAACGTCACCACTAGTAAAAAGTGGGTGCAGAATTCTCACTTTCTTGTCTCGACATAAAAAGAGAGGGGCCCAAAACGCATTATTAAACCCCAAAAGGAGATATTCAATTGGTGCGGTCCGTCCATTTCTTCTCCAACCTTAGCCGCAAATTATGATTTTGAAAACTTTAACCATTTAAAAAATAGGTAGGTCCTGCATTCTTCACCGAATTACCCAAAAATAAAATAGAACTTAACCATTCAAAAAATAGGTAGACCCTATATTTCTCACTAAATTACCCACAAAAAAAAGCATTGTATATAAAGAGTGTGTGTTTAAGTGACTACATTTCCAGGTATGAGAGAGAGAGAAGTAACTACATTAAGGGGAGAGCAAGAAAGGATGAGAGAGAGAGAGTAAGGTTGGCAACGAGCCGGGTCAGCCTTAATCCTAGCCTAACCCTTGACAACTTTGGCAATAAATAAATAAATAATAAAAATAAAAAGAGGGCTGGGTTGGGTGAAACCGAGCCGGCATTGACCCTAGTCGGACCCTTAAGCCACAGTTCATAGCTCAGACCCTACTTTTTGTAGACCAAGCCGACCAGCCCATTGCCAGCCCTAGAAAAGATATGACCTAGGGGAAGAAGATGAGCCACAGGTGTATATACTATTGGGAAAAGGGCCTTTGGCGTTTTTTTGACCAAGAGGCCTCAACCATGGTTGCTTTATTTTATTTTTGGTCGGCTAAGGATATTCCGATAACACCTCAATTTTATACATGGTTGAATAAGGGGATAGGCCACCTTTAAAAAGCAAATTCCCTTTCTCAAATATTCCATTGCATCCACCTGCATGGCATTGCATCACCCGCCCCTTTGACGTGATACAACTCAAAGGAATCTCTCAGTGTCAAGTAACTGCACTGCATTACCACCTAACCTCACCTCTCCCCCTCACCCTCTTTCTACAAATTCCCTGCCTCTCCATATACAAATAAGCCATTTCACATAACCCTCACCCTCTTCCCATCTTCTATCTTCTTCTATGCAGCAGCCATGAATGTCGATCTCAAGGTCTCTCTTTCTCTTTCTCTTTCTCTTTCTCTCCCTCTCTTTCTCACACACATATTTGTGATTTTAATAAGCTTGCTTTTTTTTTATGTAACAGAGACCAGGGGTAACAGAAATACAAGTCCGAATGGACTGTAACGGCTGCGTGCAGAAGATCAGAAAGGCTCTACATGGCATCCATGGTGTTCTTCTTCTTCTTCTTCTCTTTTATCCGTTAGCATTTGATTTATATACTCATATAAATACATCAGTTTCGCCGAAAAGGCCAAGAATTGAAACTTCCTAATCTTCTCTATGTGCAAGCAAGTTGGAGACCCTGAGGTGACTTGTTTTTCCTTTTTCCTTAAAGCAGGAATATATGATGTGTACATTGATTTCCCTCAACAAAAACTAACGGTCGTCGGCTGGGTCGATCCGGAGAGAGTCATGAAGGCCATTAGAAAGACAAGAAAGCTTGCCACCATTTGTACCCACATTGAGCCCAGTGAACCCAAGAGTGAGCCCCCTCCACCTCCAGCTCCAGACCAGCCACCACCAGACCCTGCCAACCCACCTCCCCCGGATCCTGATCCACCGGCTGAGCCTCCAGCCGAAGAACAACCACCACCACCGCCGCCGCCACCACCGCCACCACCACTGCCGCCACCGCCACCACCACCACCTACAGAAGAGCCCAAGCCTGAGGTGGCTCCCCCTCCAGAAGGTGGAGAGACAGGGCCCACAACCTTTCAAGAGCCCCATTTTTCTAAACTAAAAGAAGTCCAAGAGGTCAGAGTTATGGATTACCACCCTAGGGACTACTACTACTACCCCGGAAACTGGCACAATGGCTACACTGGACCTGGTTTCCAAGGACATGGATTCCGACAAGAATATCCTCCTCGGCATGCCGCATACGCATATGAAACAGCCCCCTACGTGCCAGGACATGGCTATGTTCGATTGCCGGCCCAGAACTGGCGCCCTTACCGGACTGAATATTTGGGCTCAGATTATCCTAGCCGTCCAATTGGAGATGGGGCCAACATAACTTCTATGTTTAGTGATGAAAATCCAAATGCTTGCAGTGTAATGTAGAAGCCTTTTAGGCTAACTTTCAAATTTATTTTATTTTTTTAGGGGTTTTAGGGGAATTTAAGGGTAAGGATAATGAGTTCAGTAAGATTAGGAGATAGATGGGTAAATGGAATTAGATGCTTAGCTTGTGGGTGGTGGAAGGGATAAGATTCCTGCAGAGGTTTCATGGGGATGATATGCCAAAAGCAAATATTCCATACCTATATTTTCTCCCATTTTAATAAAACTCCTAGTCTTTACTTTGGTTTTCTAAAATATTTAATTTCGTCTTTTTCCTCTTTTTGAATGGGAAATAAATTCATTATCACCTTGCCAACTCTTTAGACAAAAAGAGTATACTTTTTGGAAGTGGGGGATCATTGGGAATTCCCATTGTTAATAATAAGAATCCATCTTATGCAATTCTTTTTTATTTATTTATCACCATGAAGGCTGGTTTTTTAGCCCCAAAACAGGAAAAAGTTTATAAATAGCAAGGCTAGCCACTAAAAATAACTAATATATATATATGAAAAAGCAACATAACTTAGAGAATATACCCTTAGTGTCAAAGTTTTACGCTCATGTTTTATTATTTGTGGGTAATCTTCTTAAAATGCATCCACACTAGTCAATGGGTCTCTTAAAAACCCTTCATAATGGCATATTAAGCAAGTGATCAAATGTGGATTCTTTTTATGTGGAAAAAATTGAAGCTTCACTTCCTAAACCATCTGTCTTTTTGCCAATTAAAGGACCTTGGTAAGGGTTGCCAAAAAGAGAGTTTCTTAAACTTAAGCTAAGTATTAACATTTTGTAAGAGAATTGATTTAAAATTTATTAGTTGATTGAAAATTGAGCTATTAGTTGTCTTAAGACGCCTACATGATACTCACAGGCACAAAGTTGTTCTTGATTGGAATGCCACTAGATCCTCTTGAGATGATGATTTACAATGTTTTAAATATAATTTACGTTTATATTAAAAATTTAAAACCATATACTAATGCACAATTAAGAAGTTTATTGGGGATTAGTTTGTTAAATGAGGTTTATCTAAATGCCTGGCCCCTTCCAAAAATCCTTCTTAACGGATAAATTTAAGATGTAAAATACATCCTAAATCACTTTAGATGCATTTTTGCCTAGAATCATTATTCGCAGGTTAGAAAATAATGAATATTTGATTATCTGCGAACAATTTAAATGAATGGTTATAAACAATCTAAAAATAAAGTTCAAAATAATTTTTTTTGGTAGGAAATCGCATTTGAATAGGTGTGACTCATCGTCAAAAAAACTATCACATGTTTCTGTTGTACATGATTACTATCACTAAAAAAAGCTAAAGTTAGACGCACCTATTTTTATGCATTCCCCTCCAAGGAGACGGAATTTGGATCTAAAACTTGAGGGGTAAATGATCTCGACCGCAGTACTTTAAAAAACTAAATAAACTTTTAATTTTAAAAATGTTGCTTCTTTTTTTTTCAACTTTTTCTGGCACCACTTTTTTAGCTTCTTCATAGATCATTAGATCCATACAATTTTTGGAGCTAGAAAAAAGATCGATCTACGTACGAACAGTCTTCTCCGAAGTGTATTTTCAATAATTTAAGGTGTGTTTTACTTCCCAAATCCATGAAAAACCTGGTTAGAATCATTTGTTGGGGGCACTCATGCCACTTTTTCTTATGTTTAATTCTCAAGTACGATATGCTCTGTCACAAAAGGGGGAAAAGTTGATTCCAACCCTATCTCATCTCAAAAAACTTCTCCATTTACAATTCATGATTTCAAAATTCGATGAACTGGGTAGATCATTGATTGAATTCTTCATTTTATCACAAGTTTTTTGAATCCCATATTCTCCCATGAAACTTGTACACAACTATGGCTATTACAAATTACAGCATAGAGCCACTTTCTTGTAAGGGTGTGATTTGTATAAGGTTGCCACCTTTTAAACAATCAAATTAAGGCGTACTTTCAAATTCATCATAAGATGTAATTTTGGTATAAAAAATTCTTGGGATGGCCCAAAAATCCAATTTTATCTCTAATTATGAAAGTTCAAACTAAAAAAAAGTTCAAATCAAGTAGATCTATAAGTACATGAAAATCTTTAAAATGGCCGGCCCAAATATTGTATAGCAAGATGCACTATTTTTAGGACTCAAAATATTTTTCTTTTTCTTTTTTTCATTTTTATATACCTCGATGTCGAAGATTCATGGGTTTTTTGATAATCTAGTTACTTTCAAAATTATTTTGTAACTTTTATATTTATTTATTAATGAGAAGTATACACCAGCAAAATTTGAGCTTAATCATATGCATAAAAAATAAAATTGATATACCTTAGGTAAGGAAGAAGTTTATATAAAGTGTCAGCCTTATACTATATAAGTAAGATGCACCTCAAAAACACATCGAAGAATGTTGTTTCGTCACTTGAAAATTCTCCAATTAATCATCTTAACGTCCATATGTATGGATATGAAAGAAAAAATGAATTTTAAGTTTTAAAAATAGTACATCTTATTGCACATGATCTAAACCATCTATTTTTAAGATTTTCAAGTATACATGATCTACTAGATCTGCACCATTTTTAGAGGTTTCAATTTTATAATTGAGATGAAAAATATATTCATTAGACCACGATGAAAGTTTCAACACCAAAAATACATCTTTTAACAAGATTTTGTTTGAGGTTAACACTTTATACAAACCTCACCCCTTATATAATCACTAAAAATGGGACTTAATAAAAAATAGAAAGTATTCCAATTCATTTTTAACTTCTGAAAATACAATAAACTTATAACAAAAATTTCCTTCTCCTTCGTAAAATAGGTTTTAGAAATTTGCACTTGTCTGCCTTTCTTCCTTGAAGGGCCAGCGCTTCCCCCTCTTAGAGGGACATTACGATTCCATTCTATAACCCCCATCTTTTACTTAAATAACAAACTGTCCTAAAAGAATTTTCGGCTGTGAATTACTATTCTTCGTGGAATAAAGTGAACATATTATTAAATGGGTCATTTGGATATCTAAAAATATATTGTTTGTGAAATATATTTGGATATCTGGAAATATATTGTTTGTGAAATATATTACTCGCATAGTATATTACTTACAAATGTATTATTACTTTTTTGGTAGTATTTAGATCCATCCTGGGAAATACATGGCTATTTGGCTATATCGGGAAAAAATTTACATTACCTGAATTGTTATTGTTTGGGCAGTATTTAGATGCAACATAACCTAAGAAATACTGTTTGGCAATATCTGGAAGAAATATGGGAAATGCATTACCAATATTTTACAATAAACTGTCATTTATTTCTTTTTTTTGTAAAAAAATTCCACTAAAATGTGGAATTAAAGTCACCATCACATCGTTCCAAATAGATTTTCTAATAATAATATTATTATCACCATTCCCAAAAGATTTTCTAATAATAACTTGTACCATTTTAAATTCATCATCACACAATTTCTTACTTATTTTGCATGCCTTTGGCACTTACATGGGAACACATGTCTTCTAACATGATTAGATTTTGGTTTCAACATGATAAGTCATTGGAATAATATGATTGGAATAACATGTTTTTATTGTGATAAGCCTTATTTTTATTTATTTTTTATAGAAATCTTTCAAATGTCTATCTATATAATTTCAGATAAGTAATAAATTTATGATACCAAATTAAAAATCTTTATGGTACAAGTTAAAAAATAGGAATAAGTTTGATTAGTAAACTAAAAAGTTTAGTAATTGCCGTAGAAAATTTTGAGGCATTGAAGGAAACTAAATACTCTTATTTCAATTCAGCTTTTACTAATGTCTTATGAGGATTATGTTGGGTGAAAATTTTTATTATAATTGTGTTGTATAATTTCTTACGTTGGTGAAAATTTTTAAGAAGAAAGGGGCTTAAAAAGAGAGGGAGCACTTTATGCAAACCGGTTATTAGGGTTCAAGAGAGAGGTGACGGGTTTAGAGAGGGAGTGATCAAACCGAATAGGCGGGTTGGCATTTTATTAAGCTGTAACGCACGCTAAATATTTTTAAAGATTACCCATCAAGCACGTAATAGATTTTTCACCTTTCACGGTGTAATGTGTTTTATGATTTAATAGATTTTTCACCTTTCACAGCGCGTAATATGTTTCATGCTTTTTTAAGAAATCTCGAGTAGTGTCTTTCTATTTCCTTACTATAAAGTGTACCCAAACGGTGAAAATGTCATATTTTCTCGTAATAGATTGTCATGTAATAGATTTACAGTTATCCAAACGGCGCGAAAGGCTTTTTTGAACATAGTCAATAGAACTGATAATCCATTGTTTTAATAAAACTATTTTTGAATTATCTGTAATTTGACATTGTTCCTTATACAATAATATGAAGAAAAAAATTTGGGCAGCTTAACAAATGAGTTTTTTTAAAAAAATATATATCTTCATTTTATTCCAGGTAATTTTTTGAAAACCATATTTTTTTAGCCAAAAATAACTAAAAATAGTTGAAAGTCATCAATAAAGTTAGATGATTACATCTTATTGTATATATAATACAAGGTGTGGAGTAAACAGCCAACGAAACAATATTATGCAAATATTAATTTCAAATAGAAAGGTTGTTACGTATTTTAAAATAACATAGATTTTTGTGTGGTTTTCTTGAGCTTTAATTTTAAGAGAGGGAAAGGTGCGAATTTTTAGTCCCCAAGTTGAAGAGGAGAGTGAGGATTGAATGACATTTAAATGTGGGCATTCTCACTTTTATTATAAATGGTATATATGAGGAGCACGTTAAGCATGCCATACGTATGCACATGTGTGAGCGAGGGCGGTTGATGGCGCACACGCATTGGCACATTTTTTGCGAGCATGACTCGTGTGGGACATCCAACGGTCACTAGCCGTTGAAGAGATGACCACAACCGTCGATAACTTATGAGATGACCACAGCGGTCGATACTTGTGAGATGACTACAACCATCATTACTTGAAGGATGACCACATCCATCGATAAGAGTGTGGCTTGGTGGGACATCCAACGGTCACTAGTCGTTGAAGAGATGATCACAACCGTCGATAACTTGTGAGACGACTACAACCTTCGATACTTATGAGATGATTACATCCATCGATAACTTGTGACTGTTGATGTTGCATGTAACCACTCCTACAAATAGGCGACCTCTTGGAGCTCTATAAAAGGTGTCTTTTTTCATATACAAAATACATACTACACACATGGGTGTGGGAGGGTTTCATAGGATCATCACTCTTATATTATAGTATTTGTTATATTATGTATATTGTATATAAAATTCATATGGGATTGTTTACAAAGATACCATTTTTCTTTTGTATACGGATGTCATAATCATTCTTGTCCCTTAGATTTCAAAATAAGCGGTTGCAAGAGTGTAATTGATTAAACAAAAAGATTTTTTTAAAAATATTGGACTTTGTGACTCACCCCAATCCAGTCAATTAGATATCTAATGAGTGTAAATAGTTGTGACCTCCTTGTACAAAAGGTAAAGGAAAAAAATTATATAGAGCCTAAGCTCTAACCAATCAAATTAGAGCTCTCCTAAAAAATTTCACTAGAGGAGGTTGTTGCGATGTATCAAGATACATGGACATAAAAAAAAAAAAAGAATGGATTTCAAGTTTTGGAAATAGTATATCTTGTAATGCATTTTTGGACTGCCAAATTTCAAAATTTTAAGGTTTTAATAGATCTGCTCGATCTACACTATTTTGAAGCTTTAAATTTTATAATTAAAGCTGAAAATATATTTTAAGGCTCTCAAAAAGATTTCCAGTTTTGAAACCACATTTCTTGCACTATTTGAAGGTGCAGTTTACTTTGATTGTTTAGAGCCTCGACTCTATAGAAACCGCACCCAAAACAATCCCAATATATATTTATTATATTATATATAATACATAAATATTACGTATTATATTATAATAAACATTATATTATATATTATATATAATACAAATACACGTTAATGAAATAAATACAAAATATGTTATACTATAAAATAAAATATTATATATATATATTTATTTTCATAATATAAAATGTATATATAATATATTTTATTTATTTAATAGATATTCACAATATTATATATAATGCAAATATATATTAATAAAATAAATATAAAATGCACCATATTATATATGGTATTATGTTATATATATATACTATTACTCTTGCAACCGATTTTGGTGGATTGTAGAGATCTCCAGCCCGCATAATAATAGATGTGGGCTTAACCGTACCAAACAAATTCCCTTTCTATATTGTTTTTTAGTATTTATTTATAGAGTAATAATTTTATAAGACCCTCTTATATATCCGTATAAGACTCTAAAAGATTACCATTAAATTTGATAACATATTTTAAAAAGTTATCACGTGGGACTTCAATTTTTTAAAAATCTAGCCAAATTTACGGTGATCCTCTAGGTCTCGTGGGAATGGTCCCGTAGGATCATTACTCTCATTTATAAATTGCATTACTCTTATTTATAACATTGCAATAGGTTATCAAACACACCGGAACTTCCTTACTATGAGATCTTCTAACTTCACATCACCTAAGAAAGTTTACCTCCCAGTTCAGCGGGTGCTCGGCGGCCAGCACATTTGAACCAGAAGGGAGGACATTTGAACCAAAAGGAAGAGAGAGAAAGGAGCGAATTAGAAGGGAGAAGGAGGGAATTAGAAGCGAGAGGGACTGGCTGCTTTTCTTTGGGAGCTTTAGTGCGAGTCCTGATTCTCGAGAGAGGGGTTTGTTGTAGCTAGTAAGTAGTAACCCTTGATATGGGTGTGTTATAGGCATTTGTAACCCTAATTTCCATAACAGATATATTTTGGAGCTTCGTACCATCCTATTGATATCGACAAAGTACAAACGGTTGAATTTCTATTGCAGATATTGACAAACAATTGAATTCTGGAATTACGAGGTCCTCGATTTACATATTTATCTATTGAATTTTATATTTCATTCAAGGAAATACCCGAGGTTTAAGTTCAATTATTTTTGCTTTAGTTTATGCTATCCAAGGAAAAAAACAAAAAAATGAGTGCTAATTTCGTCCGCACTTACCTAATAGTTTTCCTTTTTTCTTTAGGCTTCCTTTTAACTTTCAAAATATTTTCCTACAATCTTTTACTATTGATAATACTGTTTTTGTTTGCGGCTTGGGTCAAAATGGGCTAGTGTGATTATGCTATTAGATAGTTGGCTCTCATTTTGGTTTCATTTCAGAAGTGTCTTAGTTTACTTGGATGTTGGGCGGGAAACTTTTTGTTGAAATTTGTGAGTTTCATGTTTTCAATACTTAGGTTTTTTAGTGAAGGTTTGAAGTAAATATCCTCACATTTATTGCTACTGAACTGTACATTCTAGTTCCTACTGTTTTTCTACTTATCAATGATCAATGATTGAAGAAATGAAAGGGATTATAGTTCTTGCAATTCCTTTTCTTTATTTTGTTGGGTTTTGGGAATTTAAGGAATGTAGTCTTTTTTGATATATTGGGTATTGGTTTTATTTTTTTGAGTTTCAGAAAGAAAAGATGGAAGCCATTGTCTGGGCTTCTTTTTGCTGTTTTCTGGACAGAGAAAGTTAGAAAAAGGTGTCTATGGGTATTTTTTATTGACGATTTGTATGTCATTAAAAGCGCTCATTCCTTGTTGCTTCATGGAGATATTGAGTTTCTCTTTCTATGTGTGTGCTGATTTTGATACTGAAAATTTCAGAACTCTGAGAAACCGATTGCACCAATCTTCTACAGGTTAATTGGATGGAAGTTCATTGAAATTGGTGCATGCTTGGCTTAAGTCTGTACCCATTTATTGGTTTTGAATAGATATGTGTGGTTAAAGTTGTTAATGATGCTGATATATATGTTCTACCATGGTACTTATGATTTGTTCAATTTTTGTTAGCTGAAGCTGCACATTTTATTCGCTTAATCTTGTTAGCTGAAGCTGTGCATATTATTTCCTTGATGATGTTTGACGTGCTTAATTATTCTCAAATTCAGATTTAGTTCAAAGGATTTGTGAAGCTCTGATTTCTTTGCAGGAATATGGAAACCCCAAATATCAAAGAACTCTTGACATCATTTAGTCCTTCTGGAGACTTTCTTGCCATAAGTGCAGGAGATGGTCGAATTAAGGTAAAAGAGTTTCCCGACTTAAAGAAATGATAACTCAGATATTGACCTAACTCTCATTTTCCTTGGAAATATTGGTAAAAAGAGTCCCTCGAAAGATGGCTTTGTTGTTTCCCATTTTTACTTTTTGGTGTTGAACATCATGTCTACAGCTTGAACTTATCACTTTCCCTTACAATTTTTTAAATAGTGTTTAATCTTCAGAAAAGAGTGGATATTTTATGCACTTGGTTGGAATCTTCTGTTTTCTTTTCTTTCTCTCATTTTCCTTTTGCCAAATGAACGATGTTTGTTAGTTCATTTGTTTTTGCTTTTACAGATATGGGACACACTAAAGGGCTCTCTACAAATCGAGTTTGCCGATATCAATTCCAAAACTGATGGAATGGATTTGTCAGGTCACTCTAAAAGGGGGCATCTCTCTCTTGATTATACATGCATGGAGTGGATGACATTGGGGACTCAGGTCTAAACTCCAACATTCACTCATAGAACATATGGTGCTTTGTCAAAATCTATGAGGGCTTATAGTTTGATCATCTTTTGTTCCTTCAATCCAATAATCTGATTTTTCTTGCCTCTCGGCTTCTTCTTTACAACAAAAGAAGAAATCTTTGTCATTAGTATTAGGAACAGGAAATGGGGATGTTTTGGCATTAGATGTCTCTGTTGGTGAGATGAAATGGAGAGTTAATGACTGCCATCCTGGGTAAGTTCAACTATTAGTGTTTCCTTTTATAGTTGAGTTCCTCTTGGTATATTGTTTCAGTTTTTATTATGTGATATCTTTTCTAAGCATTTTTTTTACTATAAAAAAGTGACTGGAGCCGTGAGGTTGGTTCTATGAAGCATATTTGCATGATATGACTTTGTTTTCTCATGTGGATTAAATTCAATGGCTGGCTTCCTACAGTTATAGAATGTTATACATGTGGATTTGATCATCATATAGCAATGCTTAGCTGCCCTTGTCATTGTACCTTCTATAGTGGAGTAAAGAGAATAAACACAATATTTTTTCGCTGTTGAATGCATTGGAATGTTAAATCTTTTCGAGTTTTACTCTTGGACATGTTTCTTGTGTCATGTTGTGATGCATATCCATGATATAAAATATTATGTGTAGTCTCTCTCTTGATTTCCATGTTACTGTTGGGCTCTTGTAGTAAATATTGAATTACAAAATCTGAACGGTGATCAATGTATATTTTTTTTGAGTAAGGTTGACTATGTGGTGTGTATATCTTAAAGCTTGACATAGTTATGAAACAAAGCTTGACTGTGGAACTTGGGCCCTGGGTGGTTCGAGTGGCTTGGGTGAAATGCTGGTGTTTGTGGCCTTTAAAGGCCTTGAGAGCATGTAAAATAAATAATTTATAGTGGATGTTTACACTCCCGTGGGAGTGTTGGTTCACTGACCGTGGCTTGGGTGGTCTATGGCCAAGGTCATTTCTAAAATCCCTTATCCCTAAGGATAGGCACTACCATCCCCTTGTTGAGGTCGAAGAGATGCCTAGGGATGATGATCGGAGCCAGGAAGCCACCGAGATTCCTATGTGCGGTTGTGGGCTTGCGAGGGCAAGGGCCAAATCCTCAACAACCACTGCACGACATGTACACATGACAACCACAATCTGGGAACAACCCTATAGAGAGGGAACCATGTACACGTGTATAAGAAAGTATCCCCCATGCACTATTATGATGTGTGTGCGTCGTATGGATATGACTTGCTCTTAGGTGGGGGGGTTAGGGGAGGGGGTTGGGGGGGGGCGGGGTGGGAGGGGCTACATGCCACCCACTCAGTAGATTTGTGGTTCCACTATTTATTGGCTAGCTTTGACGGGCTAATCATGAACCGTTACGGTTGAATGTGGGTCATAGGTCCCGTTGAGTTGGTTTGAAAAGATAGTTGTAGATCATGGATTATAGCACAGGTGGATTGCCTTAGAAATGTCACTTTTCTTAACTCATTAGTAGTAATCCACTGCTAGATTTGTTTTAAATGTGAATTTTGGAATGTTAGAAAGATTATTTTCTAACTTTATCATGTTCTTGTGATTTTTAAATATTTTAAGAATTTTTTAAAATTAAATTTAATCATTAAAAAGCCCTAAATGGTAGTTTTGATATTTTTAGAGTTTCCAGGGGAATGAATTCTGAGTGGGACTCCTGCGTTTTTTTTTTTTTTTGGGGGGGGGGGGGGGGGCGGGGGTGTGGGGGCTAAGATCCTAGCCCCACACGTGAGGGGCCCACATAGACTAGGATGGGGGCCCACAAGGGCGCACTCACGCCCCCCACAGGGGCCGCATGGTGGGATGCCCCATGATCTCACGGTTTTTTGGAGATCTCTTGGGGAATCATGACATGAATAATATTTCTGTTTTGAAAATACTTTGAAATAGATCTTTCTCTTTGACTTTGGATTTCGAAAATAATTGGAAGTTATTTCTGTGTAAGATAGAGTCCAAAATTTATGGGATTATGGATCTAATCTTAATAAAAGTGAATATGAATCAAGTATCTAAAGGATAATGGTTCTAGGATTCCTCATTGAGCATGATGGATTATCTAAGGAATGGATGGCACATATTTAATTCTCTTTCCTCACAGATTACTTAGGACTCCTTGGTCAAATTTGAGTTCCAATACAAGATGGCATACGCATAAGAAGGTGGCACACCATTTTGGCGAGCTTGAGAAGAGGGACACCCAGTCTAATGAGATTTCGTTGTTCAGAGGGTGTTTCCACATTGTGGCATGTCCTAGTTTTGGGTTGCAAGCATACCCATGCCATAGGTGTTTCCCAGATTTGGATGACCCAAGCAGGGCCAAGGATCAATGTGTAATCGGGTGTGGGGTGTGCTAAATCCTATGGGGGTGACCCTAGGCAAAATTCACAGTCTGCCCAGTTTTATTTCTCACTTTATTTTCAGTTTATTTTCATGATTCCTGTTTGTATTAGAATTCCTATTTGAGTTAGGATTCTTGTTTAAACTAAGACACTTATTTACGAATTGGGATTCTTATTTGGATTTGGATTTGGATTTCTATTTGATTTACAATTCATATTGTAATAAAAATCATTTTGTGAAGTAAAGTTTATTTTCTTTATGGCAGTAAGGGTTAAGATTTATAGATTGTAGTAGGTTTTATTTTCTGCTTCCGCTGTGTATTTTGGCATTGTAAGTAGAATAACCCGGTTGTTATTAAAAGAACAACGGAAAAATTTTGATTTTACACCTCGGGAATCCTAAATATCCACTGCTTTCACAAATCTGAGTCAACTTGCCCAGTCGTCGAATACTGGTCACAAAAAGTGGCAATCAGAATATTAAAGACCAAAAACAAGGGGCTGTACATACCCACAATAACAAACACAGTGGGCTAGGGTGCTAATGCTCTGGAAAAGTTTTAAAAATTTAATGGATCTAGATGTATTTTGGATGATTCAATAGTGTTATACTAAATAATTTATATTTTTATGCTAAATGACTTGAGTCAATTATAAATGACTTATAATTAGTTTTGGTTATACTTTAGGATTTTATCTTTTTAAATTTTTCTTATCTTTTTATATTTTCTCATTTCTCTACGAAAATAATCTTTAAACAATTCCTTTTTTTCTTTTTTTACTTTTTGAAAACTTTTTCTTATCTTCTATACATTTTCTATTTCTTATCGTTGTTTTTCCCTGTTTTAACAGATTTTAGATATTTTTCTTATATTTTGGAGCCTGGTGCGGACTTGGACGAGTTCAACCCAAGTAACTTGGCAAGGTCGGTGGCCAAGTTACCTGGCCGGGCTGAGTGAAAAAATCCTTGCGTTGATCTTCACGCTAACAATGCTTGCTGGCCATCATATTGGCTGTTCAGCCTAGCTTTAGGAGTGTGGAACTATTAAGGCGTAAATTACAACATTTCTGTTTTGGCTAATAGCCTCAATTTTAGTTCCCATACATGATGAAAGGTCAAATACGTGCCTCAAGAGGAACTTCCACGTGCCTGTGATGAGTTTCCTCAATACTGAAGTGATATGCTCATATCATCTGGTTTTGGCTAGCAAGTTAACCAGGAGTCTGGCTGCAACCTTTGTAAGATACAGGTCTCACTATGTGGTGTAACTATATGTATATTATTTTGTTTGTACTAATTTTGAACTACTAGACCATAATAGACATGTAGAGCTATGTTGTTTGGAAAACATGATTGAGAAACTTGGACAACATCCTACCAAAATGATGACTGTGGTGTTTTTGCTGCAATTCTTGGTTGCAACTGCAGCGAATTGTTGTGGTTGAAATGGTTTATAGCCCATTTACTACGTAATCATTCCATTTAATAGGTCCATATGATCACTAACTATGTATTTATAGTACTACTTGTCCAACTGCTGCTCAATGGAAAGAGATCCTAGTTTGCTAGTTGCTACTTCTATTCCGGTTCTCAAATTTTAAGCTCAACTCTCCAAAACTAAAGCAGCCAATGATTGGCTTATTACCGAGGAGGGTTATGGTTCAAAGAAGTTTAGCTTATTCTACAATGTCGCAACTGGGTCATATATGTTGGCTTCAGGTATAGGTTCTTATCGAGCCGCTTTATCCATTCAATCACTTATGCCTATTGCAAAGCATTATTGTTTTTAGGATCTGGATCAATTAGTCATTCAATGGAACCTATTCTTGGGTATTCTCCAGATAAAAGCCAGAACATGGTTTTTATGGGTGGTTTATGTGGTGCGGTTTGTATAGAGCCGAGGCTCTAAACAATCAAAGTAGAGCCCACCTTCAAATAGTGTCGAGAAATATGGTTTCAATACTGGAAATATTTGTGATAACCTTAAAATATATTTTCATCTTTAATTATAAAATTTAAAGCTTAAAAGATAGTGTAGATCTAGCAGATCTATGAAAACTTGAAAATCTTGAAAATTGATGGTCCAAAAATACGTTACAAGATGTACTATTTCCAAAATTTGAAATCCATTTTTTTTTTTCAAGTTCATGCATCTTGATGTCGAGATGATCAATTTGAGGATATTTGGGCATCAAAACAACTTTTTTTAGTGAAAGTTTTGAGGTGGGCTCCAATTTGATTGTTTAGAGCCTTGGCTCTATATAAACTTTTTCCTTAAGTAAATATGTGCTGGTAACAAAAGCTACTTTTTTTGTTAGGTACGCTCTCCCTTTGTGGTATTCCACCCCTTGCTTGTTTCTGGTCTTATAAAATACACTATATTATATATTATATTATGTTATATGTATTATATATTTATATTTAAAGTATTAATATATATTTGTATTATATATAATATATATTTATGTAGTATAATATATTTTATTTATGTAATAGATATTTACAACACAATATATATTATATTCTATTTTATATTTAATATTTAAATAATATTTAATATATAATATTTTATTAATATTTAAATAGTATTTAAATAAATATAACTATATATTCCAATAGGTTGTCAAACATAGGTACCTAGAACTTCTTTAACATTCCAGTAGAATATCAAACACAGACACCCAAAACTTCTTTTTGAGATCTTCTTTCTTCCGAGCAAAGAAGAACATCCAATTTCCAGGAAACATTTACCTTCTAGTTATTAAACAGGCCCTAAATGTATAGATTACATGACAAGTTGTAGCCAGGGTTTAGGCAGCTCGAATAAACTTACCTATTTTTGTTAGGCTTGATGGGCGGTAGATTTTAACATTCGCATGAATTTTGTTTCTGTTGAGCAGTTGCCAATCGCGTCCGACAATGGCCTTTCCGTAAGGGGTCTACGTGTGTCAAACATATTATAGTTACTCACTTGAAAGCTTAGCTTTCTAGGAAGTCAACATGTTTAGGAATTATAGTGGTCATACTTATGGACCCTGGTCAAAACACCTAGTTAAGGGTTTTGTGTGACGTAAAGTTTGCTGAGATCATCTTTGATTCATCGTAAGATTAATTGGAAAAAGAAAAAGAGAAATAGATTGATTTGAGCACAAGATCCCCAATGAGAGGTCTATCAAAATTGACTGTCCAGTTTTAGTTGTGGAGAGGATTTTGATGGGGGCATTTTATTGATTACCAAAACTTTTTTTTTCCTTATTGATTGATCTTAGAGTGTTCTGAACTATCATCTGAAGAGCTTTGGGTCCATCAAAACACTCCTAAGTAGGAGTTTGACTATGTGGTCCAAAACAATTTGGACGCATGGGTGTTTTAAGGTTTAGGGAAGGGGTAGTTCACAGCCTGTACAATGAATAGGCTAAACCAATTAAATTTTAAATTGTCTTTCAAATCTCATATTTAAAGTTGAAACAAATTATTTCTAAACAATAAATATTCATAATAAAAAAAATTTAAAAGTTTCATAGTAGAAAATAGAAATTAAACCAGTCCTTATAATTTGACACTTTAGATTCATCGGGCATGGAAATAAACTTTATTTATTCGAAATCTATGCTATATTGATGACCTATTTTTTGAATTCCTAATTTTAGAATACCTAAAACTTTATTAAACAATAAAAATTGTAATTAAAAATGAGAAAAATAAAAAGTTGTATTTCTTAATTTACTTAAAAATCTTAAATAAATAAAAAAAACTAGAAATGTATCCTGATTTCGTACATGGAAGGAAATCTTATTATAAAGAGTGATTCCTACCTTAGAAGGGGAGAGAGACTTTTGTAAGGAGAACTTATATATTAGGACCCTAGTGTGCTAGCGGAGTTCCCTACTTTGTAAGGAGAGAAGGATGAACTAACAAAATCAAGGGCCTTTATTACATGATAGAAATGTATCCTGATTTCGTACATGGAAGGAAATCTTATTATAAAGAGTGATTCCTACCTTAGAAGGGGAGAGATAATTTTGTAAGGAGAACTTATATATTGGACCCTAGTGTGCTAGCGGAGTTCCCTACTTTGTAGGGAGAGAAGGATGAACTAACAAAATCAAGGGCCTGTATTGCATGATAGTGACGCACACACATACACTGAAAGAAAGTTAATATATTTAGTATAGATTATGATTATGTGCCCTTGTTGCTACCATAAATTGCCTAGTGAATTTTTGAATGCAAATGGCTACTGATTGTCTATATAAAAAATGTACTAAACTCAGTTTACTGCTATATTCTGAAATTGTGCAGGGGCGTTCATGCCATTTCTTTTTCTAGACATCGTGCATGCATATATACTGCTGGTAGTGATGGTATGGTTTGCCGGTTGAACTCTGATACAGGGACTGTACTGGGGAAGTTCAAGGCTTTCTCAAAGGCAATATCGTCCTTAGCTTTGTCACCTGGTATTATGCGTATTTGAATTACAAAAATATTTGAGTGCATAATTGGATGTTTTGCTGTTTTATTGCATCATGAGATTCATTATTTTCATCACTATTGATACTTGAGCTGAATTCTTGATTCGTTTTGATTGTTGAATTGGAATTTTTATGATTAGAGAAGAATCACTTAATTTTGCCTTGTGATTAGAAAACTACGACCAATTATTACCCTGTTTGTGATACATCTCATATTTCTTGCGACTGCTAAACCATAATTGTCTTATACTGAGGGGATTGTAGACTATTTCATCTATATTGAATGAGGCGGGCTAGCATAAAGCCTTATTATTACATGTATGTATCATTGTTCCATCTCCAATGACTTCATTTGGGCCATTGTTTTACATGGCTTCGTATCTTCTCCTTTGTTAATGGACAAAAATTACTGAAGTTACCGGTGCTTTTATTGCATGTAACTAATACCAGTGCTTTCTCTCTTCATTTCCACATATCACAAGACTATAGTTGTGTTCCTGAAGCCGATAAAGGAGACATGCATTTGTACTTTGTCATGATCTTTGCCCATTTGGTAGACATGTATCACAAGATTGTAGATGTGTTCTCGAAATCTATGTTAAGATGTCTATTTCTTGTATTTTAATTTGTGTAACTTGTTAAAGGGTAAGGTATAGGGGTGTCTGATGTCACACCTCGGTTACTACGAGTTGCCCTCCAAAAATTCATCATGGATATGGATTTTGGATCCAAAATTTACTAGTTTACCATCTATCCCACCATTATGAATCTGAAAGAAAATGAATTTTTGAGTCCGAAAAATGGGTTTTTTGTCCAGTTTTTGCACCATTCATTTTGATTCCTCAAAGATCATTAGATCTGCATTGCATTTGGAGCTCCATATTCATGGATTTGAGGTGCATGAAATACAGTAAAGGGTCCTAAATGACCAAGTAGAGACGTAGACTTCTAAAGGGCAAGCTGTTCATGATTGTTATTGATATACAGCTTGAGGGGGCATATTAAGGCTATAACGTGGTTTGCAAGGGAAAACTTTTAGGTCTGTCCTTATGTAATTATTAATAATGCCATGGGCATGTTCAGCATATACATCATGAATCATTTTATAAATATAAGGACATCCAAACCAGGAACTTGTCGTGGGCATTCCATTCTTTCCTATCAAGAAAAGCTCGTAGTTCCTCCTTTTCTTCCTTCTTGAATTGTTTTATGGTATATCAGAGCTTGAGATTGAAGATTGATCTAAGAGAATAAAATTCAAAAGTGAGATCAACTATTTTCTTCCTTTCTTGAATCTCAAACTCTAATTCTTCTCCCATCAAATCCCAATTTCTTCTCAAGTCCTAACTCTTTTCTCAGCCCAAATTCTATTTTCTCCTTTTTTGAATATCAAACCCTAATTATTCTCCTCTTAAATCCTAATTTCTTCTCAAAACCTAAGTCTCTTCTCAAATCCTATTATTTTACATCAGTTCTTAATCCTATTCATTCTTGATCCTAATTCCATTCTCATGTCAAACTTTACCTCTTCTGCAAAACCAAATCTCCCTTGTAACATCTCAATCTCTTTCCATCTTATTTCTTCGCCTCCCAAAATCGAATCTGGTATTCCCTTTATACTTTGGACCTTATTATCTCTAATTTCGTCTCATCATTAGATCAAATCAGATCAGAAAATCCCCAATTCAGATTTGACCACTTGTTATATTTTTCTTCATGTCAATCCCCTCGAATTGACACTTTTGATTTTCTAGTTCATCTCTCAATTTTCTTTCCTTTCATTATTTTTCCAAAAGCCTAAATTCTTATATCCTTTCCACCTTAAATTCAAACTCTAACCTTCTTTTTAAACCCTAAGATCTTTTTTTTTGAGAATGTTAGCTTGTATTAAGTATATTGAACTTTACAAAAATATATACAAGAGTAGCAAAAACCAAAAAAGCTAGGCTGAGGGCATCTAGGTTAAAGTGGACTGAGGTCCTTAGCCAGTTCATCAGCCGAGAAATTCGATTCCCTAAAAATGTGGTTCCAGGAAATGATGAACCCTAGGATCTTCTTTTTTCATCTCAAATGTGGCTTCCTCATCTACAAATTTCTCTTCTTCACTGAACATGCTTCTACATATGTTCTCTATTAAATTGGATTCTACAAGTTCATTATCTGGAAAGTCAAGTTGTTCCACTCTGACGGGACATCTCGATGGAACACTATCTTCTCCCCCCCATTTTGAGAAAGAAATTGTATTTAAAAATGACACAAAAGAGGTGAAACTAGTCCCTAGTTGTGATTAGGAGAGCTGGTTTGCCTCAGAACAGTCTTTGATCGGTTGGCTAAGGTCTACTATTTCTTAAGGCATTTTGTCTCAAGTGATAGTTGTTCATTCAGTTAAACAATTATGGGATTGTCTTCATGAGGATTATTCTCAATCATCTAAGGCAAGCATGGCGCACAATCACCGTCAACTCCACCAATGTAAGAGAGAGATTTCTACCATTATTAAATTTTTCAACAAGGAGAAGGGAATTTTTGATCAACTAGCTACCATTGACTATGAGACTAGTGATAAGGATAAAGTGCTCTACTTGTTTCGAGGGTTAAGTGAACAGTGTGTCATGTTTGTCAAATCGATAATGTCTAGACCACCTACACATGGTTTCAATGAGCTTCACCCACATTATTGCAACATGGAACCTTGTTTAAGAAAAATTAGTCTAAGGCTATGGACGAGATTCATGACATCTTGAATGTCAATTCTTATAACTTCAACACTTCTACTAGATGTCATGAAAGAGGAAGTAACAATCGCGGTCCTGGAAATGGTCGATTCTATCCAATTAACCAGCATTATGGAAATCAAGGATATTCTGGTCATAACAGTCAGCCACAAGGACACAATGCTGTGAAAATTTTACTGAGGTAGTGATGTTTGGTCAGCTTGTATATGTCAATCAATCCATTATATGCCAGCTTTTTGTAAAATGAATTACACTGTCTCCCAGAGGTTCCATCGCTCTGATCCAGTTTTCAAAATGATGCTGCTGACCTGGCATATTTAATTGCCAATCTGAACATTTTGTAGCCCTAGGTGACGTCCTCAGCACCGCCTTCAGATCCCTCTTGGATTATGGATACAAGGGCAGCCAATCATGTGAAATCAGAGGCACATAAGTTTCATTCCTTGGTTCCATATGTTGGTAAAGGGACGGTTTTTCTGTTGTTTGATGATTTGAAGTATTTTGATATTTAACCCTAACCATGTCTTTCTGAAGGATCTTCGCAATAGGACAACATTCACTGAAGGAACATGGAACATGAACTTGTCCTTTATCAAAGAACCTTTTTCTTTGTGAAAATTTCATAGCCATTAAAAGCATTCTCCTGCCTTTCCAGTTCAGTCATCCATGACTTTTCTTCTTAATAAAGCCATTGAATTCATATGGTTCTAGTGACTTGCTCATTGTGGGCGAGGTCCTCTTCAAAGTCTGAAAAGAGTTAGTTTGATTTAATTTACTTCAATTAATAAAAAAGAGCCAAGTTTTATGTTCAAGTCGTCAACTCAGCAAATATTGTGATCTTCCTTTCAATGTTAATAAGAGCCACTTTTCTTTTAGAGTTGATACATTCTGATGTTTGGGGTTCTTCTCTTGTGGAATCTAAATCTCATTTTAAATAGTATGTTCTTTTTGTTGATGATTACAACAGATACATTTGGATCCTCTTTCTAAATAAAAAATCTTATGTTTTTGATGTCTTTGTTAAGTTTTGTTCCTTGGTTGAGTCGTATTTCCAAGGCTTCATTACTCAATTCTGGAGTGATGGAGGAGAGTACTCATCTGATAAATTCAGACCAAGGGCTTTCTTTTCCTAACACACTACAACAAATTCGTGTAATAGAAAGAAAGCTTTTAGACATATAAGAGTGGCAGCCCTATGTATGACATGCAAATGGAGTTCCCAAATTTATGTGGAGTATGGCCTTTCACGCCACGGCGCATGTTATTAATCGGTTGCCATATTGGTGGAAAATTGCCATACTTTATTCTTCACAGAAGGCACCCAGATTACATCATATGTTATGAGTTTATGAATGCTACTGTTATGCCCATGTCAATTACAGTCAAAGGGATAAGTTGATACCAAAAGCTTAGATGTGTGCGTATGTTCATGGGTTACAACAATATGCACAATGGATAGTGTTGTTCTTGTCGAAGAACCAAGGGGATGTTAATTTCTCGACATGCGACCTTTGATGAGAACAATGTATCTCCTCCAAAGCTTCAAAAAATCGAAGGAGAAGACATTCAGGTTGCTACCTCAGAACCCCAGATTGATTCTCCCTCATGCACCATTGCTACCAAAATGGATTTGAGCTTATTGCGTGATGAACCAGCAACTGTTAGAAGTCAGCCATCTGAAAAAGATAAAAGTGTTGCACATGAAAAGCATGACAAATAATTAATAATCTATCAAAAAGGGCAAAAAGGGAGTAGCCCATGGACATTCCAAATAGAAAAAATATGCACCAAGAAGAAGCAACTCATGAGAAAGAACCTGACATATCCCTTCAAGAGCGATAAATTCCAGAGTGTAGTACTTCACAGTTCAGAGATGTTGGGGACCAAAATCAATTCATTGCACTCGGCCATCCAGTAGAAAGGTGGGTAATTTATGAATCTCTCTTGAACATTAAGTTTTCTTGTCAAAAATTCTAAAAGACCGTGGGTCTAGTTCATGTGAAGTGGCAACAAAGAATGTGAGATGGATAGGGGCAATGAATGGAGAGATCCAAGCACCTCTGTTATATTTATTGCATTTTATAATAGTAAAAGAAAAGAAGAATTAAATCCATTCCTTCCAAAATTACATTTAATGAAAGGAGTGGTGGGTCCCATATTTATGTTCTTTGTTTACTTTGGTAATTGCCCCTTGAACCCTAGGCATCTTCTTTATGTCCTCAATCATGAGGTCTATATAATGTGCTCCAC